TTCATCTCAATATCATCATCCTCAGTGACGGGAGGAGCTCTCACAAGAGTAAACTGATCATCTTGAGAAAGAGTCGGATCTACTTGCGGAACAGAAGGATAACATGGTGACATCGGATCGTCTATCGTAACCGAAGGTCGAGTGACTCGCCCTCTACCACGTCCACGTCCTGTCCTACGACCTCTAGCAGCATTCATCGTTGGATCTATAAGGCTCTACAGAAAGAATTTGAAACATGTATCAGATTAGCATAAGGGATCTCGAGAAAACTTTAAATCATAACATAATGTGACATTTTTTTTCAAAATTTCTTAAAAATCCCAAAGTTTAGGACCCATATACAGTCCGAGTGTTTAAAACCGAAAGCTCTGATACCACCAAATGTAACCCCCAGACTCGGTCTGTAATTTAGACCCAAACCTAAGTGGTCACATGTCCCATTCAGAGATTTTTTTTAAATATCTTACAATACATTAGATATAATACAGAATAAAATGTATTAATACAGGTATATCCAAAACGATAGCAAATACATGTCATCAAACATAACTGAAAAACATATAGAGATATAAGTTCGTACAAAATAAATAGTTGATCTCCCCTGATGCCAAATATGCTAGCCTACGGTCTGCTGTTATCTGAAAAAGGGTAAAAACTATAGAATGAGCTAAAAAACCAGTGTGCCCCATACAGTGTATAACACATACATAACAAAATAATTCAGATAAGATAAAACAATTTATCAAATATATTTTAATAACATGCACATTACCCCCATCCAATCACCAAATTGTGTAGGTTCACCTGAACCGTACACCGCCTATACACCAGTAAGGCTTAACCTGTGCACAAAGCAGAGGAGCCTAGGAAAGCTGTAAGGTTTATCCTTGCACACAGCAAAGGGACCTGGGAAACTGTAAGGCTTGCCCTTGCACACAGCAAAGGGACCTGGCAAACTGTAAGGCTTACCTTCGCACACAGCAAAGGGACCTGGGAAACTGTAAGGCTTACCTTCGCACACAACAAAGGGACCTGATAATACTTCCTTCAATTGTACCCCCCAATGACAAAATAAACATGTATGCATTGGAGTAAAAACAGTAATTAATCCATTAAATATGGAAATGTTCCATATTTAGAAATCATGTACAAAAATATTATAACTATAAACCATATAAAAATTATACGGTAAATCAGACATTTAATAAACATTATTCAAAATACCGGATATTTCCTCATAAAGTATATTATATTCTCATAATATAAACCAGTTCGGATATATAGTTTAAAACTATAAGATAACATTTGTAGGGAAACACACATGTAACAGTCTGAGAAATCAAATAGGGAAGCTTATTACTGGTTTTGTCGATCACGCTCTGCTGCAGCGCTATATCCTACGAATTGGAAAAATCCATATTGGAAATCTAATATAAATAATATAAATATTATTTAAATAATAAGCGAAAACCTACAGGTAATTCTCGTAGTACGCGGTTAAGGCGGATCTAACGAACGGACAACACCGGACCTAATTGATTCTTGCTCAGGTGAAACACGAGTACCTTCATAAAATATTTTTATTGAATCAATTCCTTAACTAAATCTCAAATAATAATCAAAATATTGAAATATTAAGCCTTTTTGGGTTTACAAGCTCGATTCGGGAATTTCGGGTCATAATTTGGCGAAACGAACTTCAGAATTAGATTCAGGATGTCGAAAAACATAAAGTATGACTTTCCGAAAATTTAAATTCCTGGTCAAAATCAAAGTCAACGGGTTTGACTGACGATTTGGAGACTTTCAGGTTCGAATTTAGCAAAACGGATCCCAAAAACGGATTCGGGACGTCGAAAACTGTCAAGATAGGTATACTTGAAAAATATTAACGGTCGTTTAATAGCCGGTCAAAGTTCAGGTTAAAATTGGTCAACCATTTTACGAAAATAGCATTTTTAAAAAAATTACAAAAATATCACCCTTTTCGAATTAATTCCCAGTATGTCACCAATTCCAAAATAATTACTAAAATGTCACCCGGTCAACGGTCAACGGGTCGAGTCGGGTCAACGGGCCGGGTCGGGTCAAAACCGGTCAAACCTTGAATATAACCAGTTAAACCGGTCATTTTGAGCTTCCCCACGTGCAGTGGGGGCGCGTGGGACAGTTTCTGGTAGCGCAAATTTCACGAAAAAATTTCTAAAAATTATTTTGAGCGATTTCGAGATACTTACAAAGATCGGTTCAAATTTTTGAACGGCGGAGAGCTCGATTTCATAAAATCGGAAACTTTGACTGCTTCACCTCCCCACGCGCCGCCATCGACGAAGACAGAGGATGACACCGGCGGACTCGGAATGGCACAAGGAACACGATGGTGCGGGAGGTGTCGTAAACGGATCAACGATCGGCGATGAATTTAAGATTTTCTCGGCGATTGAGCTAGAAAAACGTCGAAACTTTGACTGGAAATTCCCGGCGTTTGGCATCGTTTCGCTTCAATTAATTTAAGGAAATTATTCCTCACTCGATAACGAACACGATGGTGGTTTCAAAACGACGATCGAAATTTGGACGACGTCGGGATCATTGTAGGAAGTTGAGGTTGAGAGAGAGGATTTTGGGAGCAATTGGTTTCTGAAACCAATTGCACGTATATATTAACTAAGCTTACCAACATTTCTTGGGTAAATTCAGGGCTTAGTCCCTGAATTTCCTTTAACTCTAAAATAAGCTTCACATTTTTAAAATCTTTCAATTTAGTCCCCAAAGTTCACTAAATTACTTAATTAAAACTTCAAATTACAATTATATATCTTTTTTTTAAATTTCCGGTTTGTTATAATATTTCTTTAATATTTTACTTATAAGTCTATTATTACTATATATATTGTAATTATCTTTATCTAGTTATATTTTTTTATACTTATAATAGTTTATTTATATACCTATTGTTAATATATATATATTCTTAATTATTTTTATTTGATTATTTCTTTATTTACGTAATATATCTTATAACTTTATATATATATATATATTATTTTTTATTATTTTCATTTTTTATTTATTATTATATTATTTTAAAAAAAATATTGTGTCTTTATCATTATTATTACTAAACATTATATTATATACTACTAACTTAGAGAGCCCATTTTTTGTTTTATTTCTAACTAAAGTCTCTCCCACTTTCCTCTTTTTTTCTTATTTCTGACTAAAGCCCCCCACTTTCGGTGAAGTGAGAGGGTAGCCTTTCTATTTTTAAATATTTGTTGTATATATACATATATAGCTTATTTATTTTATTAATACTTTGATATATATATATATATATATATATATATATATATATTTTCTTTTTTCAAATATTACTATATATAATTATTACTTTACTATTTTTTTCTTATCTTATTTTTTTATTTTATTTTTATTTTTTCCTTTTATTTTATTCTCTTTATCTTATTTGTTTTCTTTACCTTGTTTATCTGACACAATTCTCGATTTTTTAAGGATATTTTCAAATCAATCTATGGTAAGTAATCATGATCAAATTTTACCTTTTTATTTAAAATTACAATTTTCTTAATTTAAGACAACTGAAAATTATGTGGTACTGAAAGGGCGGTTCAAGGGTGCTAATCCTTCATTGACAGTAACCGACTCCTGAACTCGACACGTTTCTGGTACAACGCAGATCAGGTAAAATGGTGTCCGACCCACCTAAATTCGTTTTAAAGTGGTCGGTGGTGACTCCAATCCACATTTTCCTAAGTCGAAGCCCAATTCCGGGTCCAACCGAAAGACGGTTACGATAGCAATTTTTAGGGGCTTGTGGATTTCTTATATTTGAGAGGTTTGTTCAGAAATTCGAAAAGTGAGAAACATTATTTTGAGAATATGAATAACAAACCTCAAAGCTAGCCTCAGCGGATGGTCATCAAGGAGATTAGAGTATTAGCACGTCAAAAATTTAAACTGATTTTAGTCGACTTTGAGCTAGTTTCATGAAAATCAAATCAAAGGAGAAGAAAGAGGAGTGAAATATAAACATTTTGGTATTAATCTTACCGATAAATACTACCAGTGATGGGTAATGATTGACAGTCAGTGGCGGCCGTAAATTTGCAATGCTGAAAAGTGAATTGATTAAAAGTTTAGTGACAAAATCGACATACTCTTAAAAGTTCAATGCTTAAAACGATATTATTTTGGGTAACGATAATCAAGACAAAATGACATCGTTTTGTTGACATCATTATAGTGACGAAAAGATTCATTCACATCATCGTGCCGCTAAAATTTAACGACCCAGTGACATAGTTTAAATCAAATCCAAAGTTTAATGCTATAATTGAAGGGTCTGAAAGTTTAGTAATATAAACGATACATTGCCTATAGTTCAGTGGTATCTTACCCTAAAATTATGAATTAATTGCATTACATGTACTCAAAGTATGACTCTTATTTTAAATTGGTCATTAAACTTTTAAATGCTCTAATTGCATCCATAAGCTATGGATATCATTCTAAATTAGTCCTTAAACTTTTGAACATTTTAATTTCATCCCAAACTATAACCTTCATTCTAAATTGAACCCTAAACTTTTTGAGCATTTCGATTTCATCCCCAACTATATGTATATACTAATCACATCCTTAGTTAATAAAATCGTTAGGCCAAGTTATATTATAATATGATTGAAAAAAATTAGGTTAAACTATTGTTGAAACTAATTCATATTCAGATGAATTTGGGGATGAAATTTGAATATTCAAAAATTTGAGAACTAATTTAGAGGTTCACAGTTTAGGGATGAAATTAGAATGTTTAAATGTTTAAGGATTAATTTAGAATGAGCGTCATAATTTTGGGATGGAATTAGAATATTTAAAAGTTTAAGGAACAATGTAAAATAAGGCTCTAGATTGGGGACATATGATGCAATAAACTCAAAAATTAATTAAATGGCATTTTTTTTTGGTAGGGTTTGCTGATGTTGTGGCTGTCTAGTACTCCTGTATCTCTAGGAACGAGTAATAGAACACTTTACATAGCTCTATTGTTAATACTAGTTGGCTTAGCCGGAGAAGAAGCTTCTCTACCATCAATTTTAGAGAAGCAGTTTGAAGACGATGAAATTGCTGTCGATGGGAGGGGAACGGAAAAACAAAAGAAGAGAGAGCATAATCGTATTGTTTGGGGTCGTGCTAATTTATGGTCCTATGGTGCTGCCTTTCTCGCAAAATTCACATATTGGATGCTCTTACCCAGCAATCTCGGATGGGAGCAAAGAGTCAAGGATTCTTTCATCGCCGTGGCTGTCAGTTACGTGGTTTTCATCTGCGGCAGATGCTGTTACGAACTCGGACGTCCAACCAGACTACCGGTTGCTGCTCGATTCAAGGAGGCGACGAGGCTATTCAAGTTGATCCCTCTTTGGCTTTTATTCATCCCTTATACTTTAGTGGAAGCAGCAGGATCCACTGTTTTCATCCTTCAGAGTTATAGATTGGTTAATCCCAGGATTTCTCGATCTTTATCAGAAGAGATTCCCCCGACTTCGCTCTACGTGTTGGGGAAATTCACAAGCTTTTTAGTATCCGCGTCGGCTAGTTTTCTAATCGACAAGGTTTGGAGAAATGAGAACAAGCAACATCGTGCTAGATACGTGAGAATGAGCGTCGGGTTGTTGATCGCTTCCGGTTCGTCGCTAAGTTCTTGGCTAGTTGAGACCCGGAGATTGAAGTTAATCGGGGAGGAAGAGGATCCCATGACGCAAATTCCCATGACAATCCTATGGCTAGCTCCTCAATTTGCCTTGTTAGGGATCGCCAATGGGCTGATTAAGAAGGGGCTGGCTGATTTCTTCTATGACCGTGCACCGGTTTCCATGTGGGATCTTGAGTTTCTAGTCAATAGTGGCGTGATGTGCATCGGGTATGGTTTAACTGCAGTTGCCCCTTTCCTTGCAGGAGGCTGGATCGCCGACGAAATTAACGACTGTCGTTTCGACAAGTACATGCGGATGCTTACCTTTTTGAACATCGCTGTCGTGCCTGTTTACATATTTTTCTCACTTATGTTTGATTGGAGCATACCGGAGAAGGTTAATTGGAGAGAGATTGAGATTGAGATGGAGGATGTTGAGGACGTGCGCCTCCAATTATAATTATTCAACTCTTTCATTCTATTAGTTTTTCCTACGTGTGTTGTATACGCGACTAATCATATTCATGTTAATCTTATAATAAAAATAATCTTTTATATTAGAATCTTGATTATTTCAAAGAAAATAACTTATAAAGTTAACATCAAATTTAAGATCCATCTTTGATAACTCAAAATTAATATATTTGACAATTAATTTCTCAAATTCTAAATCTAGATATGATTTTTTTTATTCAAATGCTCAAATGTAACTCGACTCAAGCCGTATATTAAGTTGCCGCACGGAATACTTTCCTCTAGACTCATACTTATGTAGATATGTGTTTTATACACGTATCACATGGGATTATCATTTAAAACAAAGTTTGTATAATACTCTTAAACGAGTGGTATTCTAGTTTTTATGTTCATATTTGGGTTAAAATACCTTTTTAAAGTATGTAGTTTTCTTAAAAGAAAATGAAAAAAATGTAATTTTAAAATTAAAGGGTAAAATATATTTTATGTCACTCAAAATTTTCAATATTTATATTTTAGCAACTCAACTTTAATTTTTTTACTTTATCATTAAACTTTCAAATTTCACTCATTAGGATCACTCGACTAATTCTAATACCAAAATTAAAACACTATATTTTGGGACTTTTATTTAAGAAATTTCCCTAAAATTTTAATCTTTTCCCTTTCTTTTTTTTAGTTTGGTTATCTTTGAAATAAATAAAATTATAAATTCAAATTTTGATCTTATCTTGATCTAATATGCAATCTTTATCATCTAATCATCATGAAATTGGGATATTATTTTCTTTCTTTCTTAACCTTTCTACCGTTTGAATTTAAAAGAAAATACTATGTTTTTGATGACTTAAAAATATCCCAAAAAGATGGATTTGAGAGAACACAAAAGAATTAACAATATTAAAGACTTAATGAATGAATGACTAAAATAAACAAAATTAAAAATTTTAATAATAAATTTGAAAGTTTTAAAACTTAATGATCAAAGAAGAAACATCAACAAAGTTAGGAGTGGCAAAAATGTATTTTAACCAAAAATAAAGGCAATGGAAATTCAAAAGGGAGAGAGGTGGAGGTGGCGTGAGCTGAGTTGGTGAGTGAGCCTCTTCTCTCTCCTATTTTCCCTCTCCTTTTGCCACTCCACTGCCCTTCCTTCTTTAGGTTTCTACTCCTTTTCCTTTCCCTTTTTCAAAATAAAGAGATAAATTCAGAGATTATTCGCCCGATTAAAATCAACTCTCTCTCTCCGAACTACATTTTTACATTCTCTTCTATAAATTCCAAACAAAATGTGGCTTTCTGGAGTTGATTTATTCATGCTTTCCTTTTTCCGATTCTGAGTTTTTCCTTTTAACAATTTACCTTTTTTATCCTTTTCTTTTGCTTTTGGTTCTGGAAATCCGTGATATAGACATTTAGGGTTTTGGATGAGCTCTGCAAACTCCTTTGATCTTCAACGCATGCAGGTAAGAACAGCTTCTTACTTTGAACTTCGGTGCTTATATTTGATTATTTTGATGCTCAGTTGTTAGATTGTTCTGCTAAAAAATTATGGAATGTAAACAAAATTTGAGCTTACTTGTAGAAATGATTCCGGAAATGCAATTCGTACAAAATAGGAAAAAAATCATTTAGGAAGGACAATGAAAAATGTGATTTTCGGAAAATTTAAAACCATCATATTATTAACGTTTACAATTTATAATATATTATTTGTCAAAATTGATTGATAAAATAGTATAGCTGAAAATGTTACTTTAATGGAGTAGGTTTTAATATTACTATGGTTCGCATCAATAAATGCAAAGAACGAACAGGAAGTAAGGCTTGGGGGGAAAATCGAGAAAAATGGAAATTTAATTCGTACTGTAATGTTTGGTTTGGTTTTCACTTAATTCAATTTGGGGAATTTTAAGCATATTCGATTTGGTTTTCACTTCACTTCACCAGTTAAAACTGCAATTGTTTGAGTCGATTTCTAATTTTTAATTATTTTACTTTTGTAACATAAAACAACTATTCTATTTCTAAAATTTCATAAAAAAAATATTATAAAACAGTATTATTTTTAGAATTTAGAAAAATGTGATATATTAACTGTAATTTCTGTCGAAAACCAAATCGAACCATAACCATCCCTGATAGAAAAACAATAATCTTCTATTAAATAGATGCATTTTAGTATCATCCTAGTATTATGTTTCTGGTGCTGAAGAAATCTTTAACTTTTGGTTTTTGTAATATGGAAATAGAGGCAACGGAGCAGTGCTGAATGGTCACTCTGCTTTATCATTAGTTGAAGAAGTTGGTAGGAGAGGCAACATGAGAGAAAGCAGTCATTTGAAGAAAGGACCTTGGACGCAAGCAGAAGATGCGATTCTGATCGAATATGTTAAGAAGCATGGTGAGGGGAATTGGAATGCTGTCCAGAAACACTCTGGACTTTCCAGGTGTGGGAAAAGCTGTCGCCTGCGTTGGGCAAACCACCTAAGACCAGATTTGAAGAAGGGCATGTTTACTCCGGCTGAAGAGCGCCGCATAGTTGAGCTACATGCTAAGTTGGGAAACAAATGGGCACAAATGGCTGCAGAGGTTGGTATTTCTTTTGACATATTAAATTCAATAACTTGTTGCTTTTAACTTTCAAAGTTGGTTTTGTAGAATACAGCATTTGTACTAATTAAAAAATACATGCACGTGCACTCTCTGATATTAATTTTTATATTGGAAGATGATCATTCTTTCTCATGAAGCTAATTGATGCTTGTGAATGGTCAGTTTTTGTGATGTGCAAATGATTTGTTTACTGTGTTAATTCATGTTCCTCACTCCGTCCTGGTATGTGGAGACTCAAAATTTATGTCTTTCACAATGATTAACTTGCTTCCATGGAGTGCCTATGCATTTGATTATTTGATCCATGCTTTACCACCCATACAATATGATTTCGTTGATACATGATAAACTTTCTCCAGAACTACTGCCTGTATGTTCTGATAAATATATATTAGGTGATTGAATATCCTGCTCATTTGCATGGTCAACCAAGGATTGCCAATTCTGATGAATCTTACCTCTTTTTCCCTTGTTGCAAAAGAAAAAAAAACTTTCTTGTTGAGTTAAATTTAAAAATAGAGTGATAATAAAATAATGCTAAGGACAATATATGAACCACACCCCAAAACAGAGAGAGAGGAGGAGAGAGGAAGAAACACCAACATGTTATGTTTCAGCTCATGATACTATATGTAATGAAAAAAATATGGCAATGTATTATATATCTCTAAGATTCTAGTTTTGCATTATATTTCAGAAGATCCTTGCATAAAATAGATCCATATCTATGTAAATCTGCGTACGTGTATCCAGTCAATATCTTTTGTCTTTTTTCAATAGATATATTTTGCACTGCGAATTACAAGCAAGTTTTAGGTTTTATTCAAGCATCGTGATAAGCAAGCCATTTTCACATGCGTGTTCTCTGTAATGTCATGGATGCTCAGTAATACGGCATGAAATTCTAGTCACTTTCTTACAGTAAATTTTCCCCGAAACAAAATCCTCTCATTTGCTATTTTCTTATAGTTTGATTCAATTTTATAATCATTCCATCCCTTTATTTTCTCTAGTTGCCAGGACGAACTGATAATGAGATAAAGAACTTCTGGAACACAAGAATTAAGAGACTGCAACGTGCTGGCTTTTTTTACCCTCCTGATGTGTGCTTGCAATTAAATTTCAGTCAAGAAGAGATTCATAATGTGGCTTCAATGCCAAACCAGGACTACTTTTGTTCCAATCTCTTGCAATCGGATGCTTTTGAGATTCCGCATGTGGAATTCGAGAATCTAGAATTCAACCAACAATATTTGTCTTGTTCGCCTGAGCTTCTCAACATTCCTCCGAATACTATTGGTTCGTCCCATGGTTATGGACATATGTTCCCAATGTCACGCTCTCCTAAGCATCTTCAGGAAAGTGTCAACAATTTTATCTCAATTCCCAACCAATTGACTGATTTTGCTTGCGAGGAAAATTATGATGATCCATGCAAAGCATCTTCGCCATATGATTCTGATTTCAGTACCGATGACCAGCCATCATTTGGTATACCTCCTGGCACTGATGCCCTTCTAAACAGTCATTCTCTCCTTCTGAGCCCTTGTCTGGGCCTATGAACATGGAGCTCCCTTCATACCAATATTCAGATTATCAACAAGATAGTTGGGTTAATCCTTCGGTCCCACTACCTTTAGTTGAGTCTGTCGATTCTCTGATCCAGTCCCCTCCGGTGAAGCGAGCTAAGTCAGATATTTTTACACCACAAAACAGTGGCCTCCTGGAAGAAATAGTATACGAGTCACAGAAACTTAAAAGCTCAAAGGATGCTTCTAGCCATCAGTCTTCTACTTTGATGCTTGATGATGTAGCCAATGTTCCCCGAAAGGGTTGTGAATTAGAATCTGAAGCACACTGTGACTCGAATTCTCCACCTCATTCTGCTGCATCGGCTTTCAGCGTGCACACTCCAGGTAGTGGAAGCTCATCAGATGAACCACAATTTGTTGAGAGCATTCTGGGTGAGATATCTTTGACAACCAATGAATTTTGTGACGTGAATTAATAATATTTTGTATCAGTACAATTAATCATAACCCCTGCAGGATGCAACAAGATCGAAACATCGAATCAGATGGCTATTTCTGGACTAGAGTTTATCAGATCTGGTCAGTTTGGTCACGACATTGGGTGCGTGAGGGATAAACCTGTCGTGACAGATGTTATAGCGGTTCTTTTGGGTGAAGATTCTTCCAGTGACTACTAGCAAACTCGATCGAGGTGCTTGCATTTTTCATCAACCTTCTGAAAGTCACTGGAATTGCTATTATAATCTGTCCCCTTGTTTTTGGTGGAAGTTTTAAGATTTGTCAATCTATGAACTATTGAAGGAGTTGTAGGATAAGTTTTTCTGTGGAACTATTG